AGAGTCACTGTGAGTTGGAACCAACTTGATGGCACTTAACAACAAGAAGGACAGCACCTGGCACACAGAAGGTGATCCTTTCCTCTCCAAACACTCTTTGTTTATCTCTCTTGTTATCTCTCCACCCTTTATGCCTCCTTTCAAGTCCTTTCATTTTCCTAAACCCACCCACTATCAGGGAGAGGATTCCAACTTACAGCGAGTCTATAAGACACAGTGAAGTCCCGTTGTGGCCGTAGGATAAGCACTGGACTGCTAGCTCAGTTGGTCGTTCAAACCCATCAACTGCTCCTCAGAAACACTATACAGGATTGCTATGAGTCCTAAACGACTAGTCGGCATTTAACAACAACAACAGGACAGAGTAGAACTGCCCCATAAGATCTCCAAGACCGTGCATCTTCATGGATGCAGATTGCTACATCCTTCTGCCTCCTGACACTGACCCTGAACCCAAAACCAAACCACTACTATGAATGGATTCTGCTTGAGGGAACAGACAGCCTCATCTTTCTTCCTCAGAGAAGTTGGTGGGTTGGAACTTCTTACCTTTTGGAAAATAGCCCAATGTGTGAGCCATAGCGCCACCAGGGCCCCTCCATTTCCCTAAGGTCCTTTTGAAATGTCATACTCCTGGAGGTCCAGGTCAGACCACATCAAACATAACTTATATCCAGGATATCCATCTACTCATATGTTGTTGTGAAGTGCCATTGAGTCCTCATGACTCATAGTGACACTATAGAGTTTCTGAGGAGCAGCTGGGGAGCTTCAAATGACGACCTTGCAGTTGAAAGTGACCTTTCAGTCCAGCCCATTAACCCACAGCACCCCCCACATATATACACTGTATATTTGTACACTATGTATAAATACATTGTATATACATACTGTGTGTATGTGTGTATATATATAGCTGTTAAGCTGGTTCCTTCATAGAGGTTTCTGAAAAGCACCTGGTGGGTTTGAATCACTGACCTTGAGGCTGGCAGTTCAGTGATTAGACTACAGCGCAACATGAGGATGGCTAAGCACTGAACTACCAGCCACAAGGTCAGCAGTTCAAACCAATCAGCTAGCTGCTCCTTGGAAACCTATACCATATGAGTCATAACTGACTCTAAGGCAATTAACAACAACACACATATATTAGCCATGGTGGCATTTGCTAACTGCATGGTAAGCTATTCAAAGTCGCCAGCTGCTTTGCAGGAAGAAGATGGGGATGTCTTTTCCCATAAAGATTTACAGCCATGGAAACCCTACACAGGGCCATTATGAATTAGAATCAACTATGGTAGTGGGTTTGGTATAAATATATATATGTTGTTGTCATGTGCTATCGAGGCTGTTCCAACTCATAGAGACCTTTTGCACACTAGAACAAAACACTGCCCAGTACAGTACCATCCTCACAATTGTTACTTCTGTGCCATTACTGCTGCGACTGTGCCAACCTCATTGGGAGTCTTCCTCTTTAATGTTGACCCTCCAATTTACAAAGCATGATATCCTTCTCCAGGAACTGGTCCCTCTTGATAACATGTCCGAAGAATGAAACATGAAATCTTCCCATCCTGGCTTCTAAGGAGCGTTCTGGCTGTATTTCCTTCAACACAAATTTGTTTGTCCTTCTGGCAGTCCACTGCAATTTTAACAGTCTTCTCCAACACCGTAATTCAAACACATTGATTCTTCTTCAGTCTGCC